AATACTGCTGCAAATTTAAGCTCATAAACTCAACAACTTAGAGGAAATGTATCAATTCTTCAAAAACCACAGACTATCAAAATTGTGCCAAGATTAAATAAATAACCTAAACAGTCCTGTAACTATTAAAGAATTCAATTTGTAACTTAAAAGTTCTTGAAAAAGAAATCCCACAGACCAGAGAGTATCACTGAGAAACATTATACCAAAAATTTAAAGAATTAAAACCAATTTTATATAATCCCTTTCAGAAATTAGAAGGGGGAATAATTTCTAACTCATTTTATAAGGTTGATGAGCATTACCTTAATACTAAAACCACACAAATAGAGCATAAAAAAGAAAACTACAAATCACTCTCTCTCATTAACTTAGATGAAAAAAATTCTCAACAAAAGTTTAGCAAATTACATCTAACAATGTAAAAATTAGTAATACACCATAATTGATATTCATGGTCAACTACACTCAACAACAAAATACATATTTTTAAGTGCCCATGAAATATTCATAAAGATAAAATAAACCTTCACAAATTTAAAAGGATTGAAATCACATAGCATATGCTATGCCATAAAGAAATCAAGAAATCACTAAGGGAAAAACCTTAAACACTTTGATTAACACACTCCAAATAATCAATGGGTTATAGAGAAAGTCTCAAAGGATTGTTAAAAAATACACAGAAATAAAAATGAACAGAACACACAACATATCAAACTCTGTGGGATGCAGCTACAACAGTAGGTAGGGAAATTTATGTCACTAAATGAATATATTTCTCAAGCACAATGATTCTAAGGTTCTTCCATGTTGCAGCATATATCAGAATTTCATTCTTTCATGGCTGAATAATATTCCACTCCACACATGTACCACATTGCTTGTCCATTCACTTGTAAATGGTACACTTTGGTTGTTTCCACCTTTCAAGTATTGTGAATAATACTGTTACGAACACTAGGGTACAAGTGTCTGTTTGAGTCCCTATTTTCAATTTTTTTGAATATACACCTAGAAGTAGAAATGCTACTTCATATTTAGTTTCCTGAGGAACCACCAAACTGTTTCCACTGTGGCTGCACATTCAGCAATGCACAATTTATTCACATCCTTGTCAACATTTGTTATTTTCGTTTTTAAAAAAATAACAGCCATCCTAATATGTACAAGGCATTATCTCACTGGGGTTTTGATTTGCACTTCTCTTGCACTCTCTCTGTTGACTAATATGCTAAACAACTCTTCATGCAGTTGCTAACCACTTTTCAGTCACATAGCAAGTCAAAATGCTAAGACACCGAGTTTTGCAGCAAAGAGATTTACTAACAAGACAGCCAAGCTGGGAGACTAAAGTGTGGGGAGCCTGGGGAAAGTTAATTAAAAAGAAGTTGCAATAATCATCATTCTGCGCAGGACTCTAATAAATGGTCAAATGGTCACCAAGTGGACCTTCAAGCCCGTCCAGCTGAAGGGTCAGTGGTCCTATATAGTCTTAACCAGCTCAGCTCAAACTAAATGCAGCTGATCTCACCTTCCTAAAAAACAACTCAGGCAAACATCTTGTTATTCAGGCTACATGTCACTTGGAGGACTTAAATGACCTCAATTAGTGAAGGCAAATAAAATGGATTTAACCCACTGTTTCACATTCATTGGCCAATTGGAGAAATGTCTACTCAAGTCCTTTGTCCCCTTTTTAATTGGGTTGTTTACTTTTGTTGTTGTTGAATTGCTGGAATTTTTTATATATTCTGGATATAAAGCTCTTATTAGGTATACTATATGCAAATATTTTCCCCCATTCTGTGGGTTATCCTTTCATGCTATTGATAGTGCCCTTCATACACTTTTGAAGGACATAAATACATAAGTATATGTTCTTATGTAGAAAACTTAAATAACACAAAAAGATCAATTTTCACAAAATTACTACACAAATTAAATGTAATTTTTTAGTTAAAACCCCAGTAAAATTTTATCAGAAATTAGATAAAACTGAAAGTTTATAAGAAGAAAAAAGGTCTGAGAATGAAAGAATAGTGAATATCAATACCTTTATATCAGCACATATTATAAAACTACTAGTAAAGCAGTATTGTGTTGACATCAAGAATAAAGAAATAAAACAAAATTCAAAAGTATATTGAATGATATGTGAGATTTAATACATGATGAAAGTAGCACATTCAAAGAGAATGAATTATTTAATTAATAAATAGACCTGGCACAACTGACCACCTGGAAAAAAAATTAAATTATAATATTATGTCACATTATATACCAAAACACATTCCAGATGGATTGAAAATTTAAATTAAAAAGAAAAAAAGATGTTAAGATGAAAATCTAAGATGTAAACTTATAAAAAGGTGTTCAAACTCAGTGATAATCACAGAAACAGACACTAAAGTAACAATGAGATCATTTAATACTGATCAAACTGGCAAAAAAGTAGAATCATAAATAGCCTAGAAGGTAAGATTCTTACACTGCTGATATAAAAGAAAATTGGGAAAGCCTCTTCTGAAAGCGTGCACATGTACATACACATTTATATTTATTAATATATATATATATATATATATATATATATGTTTTCACTCAGGAGAACCAATGAAGATATGGAAGGATTCAAAAGCTATCTCAGCAGGATGAGGACAGTAATGATAAGTATCTTTTTCTTTTAAATCTTTGACTCTTACCTCAAATGAAGGACTTTTCTAATTTGAAAAAAATGCAAATAAAACTTTAAAAAGGAGCAGCACATATAACTGACTAAAAGAAACTGAACAAAATGGAGAAGAGAGAAAAAGAATACTGACCACATATATGCAACTATCAAATCATTTATGTTGTATTACTGAAACTAATATAATGTTATATCAATTATACTTCAGTTTAAAAAAAAAAAACACTGCTCGAGAAGCCACTGGAGAGGCCCACCTGGGAGGAAAGAAAGGCTTCCTGCCAGCAACCAGCCCCACATGAGAGAGACATCCTGGAAATATAGCCTTAGGCCCAGTCAAGCCTTCGGATGACTGCAACCCTGGCCAACATCTTGACTACCACCTCGTAAGAGATTACAAGCCAGAACCATCTAACTAAAGCTGCTTCTAAATTCCTGACCCACAGAAACTGTGTGAGACAATAAATATTTATTGTTGTTCTGGAAAAAAAATAAAACAGAAAAAAGAAATCTATTTGAAAACTCCTGAAGCTATGATCTCTGTAATAATTATTAGTTAATGTCTCTCACTACATCCTAATAAGCAACGTTCCTACCACTAAAACAAAGAAAGAGATAATAGTGAGATAAAACTTATTACTTATGTCTAAAAAAACCAAAAAAACAAAAAAAAACACTGACCATGGATGTGAAAGGGAATCAAAAATAACTTCATCCATTCACAATTCTGCCCAGGCTGACCCTGACCTTGTCACTCAAGCCAGCATACATGCTACCTTCAGCATTTCTACCTTTCTAAATATATGTAGGCAAATATCACCCATGGAGGTGCTACAAACCTGATTTGTTGACAACTTCACTTGGTTCTATAATTAACTGCAGGGAAGCTTCATTCTTTCTTGAAGAAACTGGGTCTGACTTTGAATGTGATTTCTGGCACTGAGTCTAAAAAGAGATACAACATTAGATCTGCTCTATTAAATTACCAATTCTGATAAAACACATTTGCTTTTAAACTAAAAAAAAAAGTATTTAAAAGCAACAGATCAGCTGGTAAAGATGCAAGCTTAAATAACTACTTAGAAAACAATTTCACATTATTTAGTAACACTGAAATTTCATATAAGCTATCATAAAAACATTATTCTAATAGCTTTTAAAAACCTATTCTGACAGAAGATTGGATAAATTATGGTATAGTCATATAACATAAAATTACAAATACAACATGAAATGAATAAACTACAGCAATATGAATGATTCAGCTAAACAACAAACAAGTTGCAGAAGTATATAATTTCATTTATGTAAAGCTCAGAACAGACACAAAAACATGAAGAACTATATATATACACACATATATAGTATTTAGAGATTCATTCTATGCAGAAGAAGTGTTAATGTAGCAGGCCTGATCACTTAAAAACCTGCTTACAGGACTAGTCTTTGGCTGGCACCTAGGGACCTGGCTTTCAAAATATTTCCTCCATTATCAACTGGTAAGGTTGTACCTGCTATGCCAGCCTGTCTGTATAAACAATGGGATTTATGGTAAACACCTGCTTTTTTTTCCCCTCAGGGAATACAGAACTTTGGTGAGCAGAGGGTTATATTTAACCAGCCCCCAATAAAATGGGCCAAGTCTCAAAAGGCTTCCCAGAGTAGAAAGACTGTACATGTTTTATGGCATTTCACTGGTGGATGCAATGAGTATATTCTTTGTGGCCCCTCTAGAGAACATAGGAAGCCTGGCATGGATTCCTCCAGACTCTGCCTGATGCATCTTTTTCTCTAAATGAAGTGGCTTTGTATCCTGACTGTATGCCTATAATACATCTTAGTCATGAGTACACCTAACGACATGCAGAGAGACTCAAGAGTTCCATCTAGTGAAGCACACAACATGTGGATGGACGGCAGTAGGACCTCTGTCATAAATAGTGGAAGAAATGCTGACATAAATGTCAGCACACATCCATATGTGGTAAAACTATAAAACAAAGGATGAGAATGATGAACATGAAATTTAAGACAGTGGTTACCTCTACACAGGGAGGAGAGGCAAAAGAATAGGATCAAAAAGGGGCACATAGATGCTTCAAAGGTTTTGGTTATTTTTTACACTAAGGAATGGTCACATGGGTTTTTATTTGTTATTTTTAATACCTTATGTACATATATATTTTCTTTTGAAAATCTGAAATACATAGTTATAAATTTTAAAAATACAGAAAAGAGAAATCTCAATACACGGCAGGCAGGAAAAAAAACAAGTGAACAATTTTGCAGAAAAAATTGACAATATTTAATAAGTGCAGTTCAAATGTGCATATCCTAGAGAAATTCAGTTTACAACATGTATACAAGGAGGTATAAACAAAAGTGTTCACTATATCACTGTGATATAGAGAGAAAACAACTTAAAAATCTGCCAACAGGGGAATACATAAATAATGGAGCCACTACACTGCTAGCAGTGGATACACTATGGAACTCAATGACAAAAGTAACAAAAGTAAGTTTTCACAATATTCTGCTCCTTCCTGAGACATCACTAAGGATTTTTTAACATGTGTGAACCCAGAAGGATGAAGAGAAAAAAAAGTGTAGACGAGAGATGTCAATAAACTTTCTGAGGTTGGAAAGCAGATCAGCAGCAACTAACCAGCACAGAAAGAGCATAAATATGCTAGCAACGGAGAAAGCCCAGAAGCACACAGATTTATGTTTATGGAAAAACCCGTAAGATCAAGGTACAAGGCACCTGTGAAAAAGGGGATCCAGGTATGGCCTGCAAAGAGAAGAGTTGTTAAAAATATGTATAGGAAGCAGTCAGTCACGGAGTCCCTCCTCTCCCAACTCTAACAGAAGATTAGATGTTTACTGTCTTGAGTTTCAAATCAGAGAGACTCTGAGCTCAGTGACATGAGACACAGTTCAAGATAAGAACACACTGAAAACAGAGATATTAAGTGGAAGTATTCAAATTGCACCTCTCCCCTCTTGCCCCATCTGGCTGAGAACACCTGTAGTTAGAATCAGATCCCCCAAGCAGGAGAGATTTTTTTGTCAGAAAAACTTATCAAGCCAAAAGAAAAAAACCTATAGATATTAGCATCTGGACATCCACAATGACATGATCCAGACAGATCACACCACAGCAAAATCTACCAATGTAAAATTCTAACTATGAAAGTAGAGTTTCCAATCACCATTTTAGTTTTACACTCTTAAAAGTGAGGAGACCACTAAGGATCACTGTACATCTGACCAAAGGCTCTAGTGTAAAAGGCAATGAGCAAAGTAAGCAAAAAAGTTACCTGCAGGAAATAGAACTGTACCAAAAAATCCTAACACAAAAAGTTAGAAGAACCTAACAACAAGAAATACCATGAAATTTCAGATCACTAAAGACAGATGAAAAGATTCTAAAAGCTTACAAATGTGAAAAAATAGTGACTCACAAAGGATCAAGGAGTCAAAACAGCATTCTCAACAACACGAGAAGCTTTATTAAAAAAAAAAAGAGCACGTCTTTAGGAATCTGACGGAAAATCATTTCCGACCTAGAATTTTATACCTGTAATTATCCATCATGAGGGTAAAGTTATGCTATTTTCAAACATTTAAGGTCTTAAATTCTCAGGAAGCTACTAAAGGATCAGTCCACCAAACAAAAAAAAGAAAAGA